TAATGGATCTTTCAGGGCGCCCCCAATATCTCCAGCCGTCCACGCTCGGAGGCAATGCCTCAGGTGCCGGTCGCGTGGATGCGGAATGCGTGTCGCGCATCGAGGTCGCGGCGGGCGGACGGGTGGTGTAAGATCTTCGTGCGGGAGTGACAGTTTGGCGACAAGCAGCGGCTCACGGGAAAGGAAGAAGAGTGGATCGTCAACGGGATGCACTGTTTGGGTTCCGGAATCGTCCGGTCCGTGCGTTGTACCTCGCCAGCTCGCTCAATCCACGTTCGGTGTATAGCAGTGTCGACAGCTTCTCGGCTCGGGCTCCTAGGCGTGTGCGCATTCTCCAGCGCTCGTCTGCGTACGCGGGGCAGTACTGGACGTAATGGCGGATGGACTTTTGCATACGAGCAAGACGTCAGAATTCGAAAATTGGCGTAGGGCGAACGGTGAGGTCGGTGCCACACTGGCGAAGTCTGTATCAGGGACGTCGAGAACGCGAAAAAGCACGTCTTTGAGCGTTTCGTCGGCCAGGAGATGCGCCATGGCTGACGATGAGAATCGTCGACAACAAAGGTCGAGGTCAAGGAGCACAGGCGGCTCTGTCCGGAAGCCGGATGTTACGCTTGGGAAATCCGCCTCTTGACAATGGACCCTCAATGCAACCCAATTCCTGACATCGGGAATTTTTCTAGACACGGTCACAGACAGTATTTAACTCTTAAGCTGCTAGTTGTCGGCATAGATTCGATCTCTTCGCAAGTCGATTGATCAAAGGTTATCCTACAGCTTTCCACTGTAACCCTTCCTGTCGTCAAACACGTCGTCAAATGCCTGACCAATGTACTCGAGCATGTCCTGAGTAACGACCGAGCGTCCTCGTTCCGCGAATGCCAGCCGCGAAGTCGTGCGTGTAAGGGTCGATGCCCCGAGCGCTGCGAGGAACGGGATGCGATGTGGCGGGATGGACTTGTCACTGCGGACGTGTAAGGAAGAAAGCCATAACTAAGCCAGAACTTGCAGGTACGTACCCGAAGGATCCCGTTTCGTAGTTCTTGCCCCACGCGAGGAAAGCGCCAACGGCACCAGAAAGTATGTCGCCCTGGCCGCCGCAGCGCTTCAGACCACCGGCGACGTCAACGGAGGCTTCCTCCTTCGCGTACGCCACGACGTCTTCCGATCCTTTCTGCAGAACGGTAACGCCGTCCAAAGCGGCGCTCAACTCGCTCGCCTTGGCGTCTTTCTTCAGCTTCTGGTCCAGTCAGTGCATGCTGCTGCAGGATAGTACGAAAACTCACGAGCGCTTCGCAGAGCCGTCCGTACTCAACGACGTTGGGTGTCAAAACGGCACGTTCGTAGCCCTTGATAACACCAGGATCCTTCTGGACCATGTACAAGCCGTCGGCGTCGATGACGACGTACATTTCCCTGTCGCGGGCCATGCGTAGGGCATCCCGCGCGTATCGTTGCATGGAGTCGCTCCGTCCGAGACCAGGACCGAGGATGAGAACGTGTAAACGAGAGAGAAGTGAGTCAAGTTCTTTGTCTACTACATCTGCGGGTCTGCTTGGCGTTAGCAGGCCGCAAGCGTCGAGAAAAATGAACGAACGCGTCGGGTGCGAAGATGGGATGCACAATAAGATCGGGCGAATAGGATTTGATAGAACCTGCCGCGACGGGAGAGCAGAGAACATGCGACAGGTCTACGCCCTAGTGCATAGTCTCAGCAATGGGCGGGGAATAGAGCTGCGAGTAAACGTACGACACGGAGCGCCGAGATAGCAGCAAAGAACGGTGCGCCAGAATATCTAAACATCTAAATGTCATGGATATATGCGTGACGACTAGGCGTACTCTTCGGCACCGCCAACGACGGCGACGCGCCCTGCACTGACCGTGAGCAGCGAGTAAGACGATCAGAACACTACGCGCCAGCTTGGCCTTTGTGTAGTTTGCCGGTAAGGGGAGGTATGAGCTGCTTTACTTGGTCGAGTAATTGCTTGCTGATAGTCATGGTTGTGGTCGAAGGTCAAGTGAGTAATAGGCGCCCGCAGTGGGCCGATGCGCGTTGCGTCACTGGAACTAGACGGTTGCGCCAGCCTTCCGGCTGGATTGCAAAACGGTCACACCTCTAAGCTGTCTGCATGATACTAATCCACAGTGTCTCTGATTCTTCTACAGCGACCGTTAATTCTACCACTTCGCGAACTGTCGCATTGGCCAATTCAGGTTTGCTTGCCCACTTGGAACCGCCAGCTGCGACGCGGAGAGATCACTAAGAGGGGTACAGTTGTATAAAATGCTTACTGGGTGCCGGACCTGAAATTCTAACGGGAAGTTCATTGGAAGGGGCGCTCATGCGACGCCGCTTCGCGCCCTCGCCATTCGCGCCCCTTCCTGCGAGTTTTCTGTGAATACATACACAGTTGTACGAAAGGTGGACTGGATGCATGACCTTCTGGCTGGAGGTTCATTGGACATGGTGCTCATGCGACGCCGCTTCGCGCCCTCGCCATTCGCGCGCTTCCTGAGCTAGTTTTCCGGGGATCCGGAAGGGGCTCAGAGAAGTATATAGTAGGCTAGATCAATAACTGCCTTTTAGAACTGGGTCTTTGATGCTTGACTACGTCATAGGAATATGAATGAGAAGCTCGCACTCACTCGACTGCTCGACAGCAGCGCAAGTGCCCAAGCATGGACACAGAACGGTTCATGCCGGGCAAGGAGATTCTCTATCAACCCTCAAGCTGCAAGCAGTGAGCCAGCTCAATATATCACCGAGCAGTCTAGTGGCTGGAGATGACGGTGAACCGTGAACGAGAACGACGTGGCTTGGTCCGATCTAAACAGTAGCGAGCGAACGCTGCGACGCGGCGACGTAGCTGCAGATAGCAGACACGGAGGCCTAGAGACTTTGGGAGGGGCGAGCAGGTCATGATTTCTACCAAGACTAGACCGTTCGCGAAGTGGGAAATGAGGGAGCGGTGCGGAAGGTGGACGGAGGAGAGTGGTAGTACGGAACGGCGGAGGTAACCGAGAAGCGCCCAAGATGAGTCAGCTTTGAGTCATAAATTGAAAGCCAGACGGAGCTGTCAGAGTTCCCCCTAAGATACGGTGTGACCGTAACGGACTCAAATCAAATTGGAACATGGCCGGACTCCGAATTCATTTATTCACATATTCACTTTACTGCATCCCGCACTACCCAGAGCAGAGTAACAGTAAATTATCGCTCACTGGCAGTACTGCTTCTCATCCTGATAATACAGAAAGGAGGACGAGGTCGTAACGACGTGAAGAGCGAGCAATAGTCCGCATTCACCGAATAATATGGCAGACCTGGGTAGAAGTTAGAATCCAACCTTCGGTCGCCCGCCATGACTACATACGCTGGTCGCGTCGGCCGGTGACTGGAAGCATCTCCGGTTCTCACAACAGTCACTCGTGCTGGTGCACGGCTGTCCGGCATCTACGCAGGCGGAGCCGCCTAGACTGAGGGAAAGGAGACTGGAGAGGATAAGAAGGACGTTCATGGGGAGCAGATGAAGGAACTAGAATCAGAGCGGGCAAAACATGCCAGATTTATACCTGAGATGCAAGCGCTGCGTGTATACTTACAAACAGTTACAGTGCATGACGTACGGCGCCCTTTCTATTGACAGCCTGCGCTTAGGAGCCCGCTCCGGATACTGATCGATGGGAATCACGCCCGTCTCGCAACCGTCTCGCCGTACAGGGCAGCATGTCTCGTCCATTCAACGGCGCGAGTACACCGTTCCCTTTCATCGCAAAATTAGAGGATGATTTGACAGGTCTGAAGAAAGCTGCGCATCAGTACGACTCCTCTAAACGGTCAAACGTGCGTCACGGGACCTTTCCTGCCGCAGTACCAGTGCCTGTCTTGAAGCACAGCTGATTGCCGCAACAGTCCCCGCTCGTCTCGCAGAACTCTCCGGAATCGACGCAAGCGTACACATAGCCTGAGAGAGCGAGCACGACGGCAGAGAGGGTACTGAGTCTCATCGCAGGATAAGAGTCAGTTCGAATCCAGGGGGTGCGAATCTGTCAATGTCCAGTACAACTTCGACGGGCAAACGCTGCGTCCTTTTTATAGTCTTAGATAAGCGCTTCGAAATGATGCCCAGCGTCAAACCTCGGAGTTGCGGATCGACGCGAGAGTAATGACACTTTGGACGGGGGTATTACACCAATGCTATGGATCTATTGGCAGCCTCATCGCGAGAGTCTGGGTACATAGAGGCAGACCTAGGGTGTGATCTGAGTCTCTTGCAGATGTGCCAGGAAGCGTGCAAGATGCCGACGTTCAGAAGCAAGTTGAACATTGCAGAAGTTCTGCCATCCGCACGATCGGAATAGCCGCTGAAGTATGTACCGCACACGTGACCGACGCAACAAGCGCTCTCAGGTCAGCGACCGCAAGAGTAAGTAGCGCTGGTATGAACAACGGGGAACGCGCAAAGCGACGTGTTGTGTACGGCGTACGATGGCGGCTTGATGGCGGCGGTTTTCTACGACTATCACTCGTACTAGAAGTCTTCACATGATTGACGGGAATGGGGTAGGAAAATGACAACTCGAGATGTACGAGCAGATACGAATGTGCGATGAGGCGAATGTGGCTATGCTAATCAACTATTGCCGAGGATTTTGAAGGCGACGCGATGGCCGAGTGGTTAAGGCGATTGACTCGAACGGTCCCAGGACCACGTGATCAATTTCGTTATGCGAGCGTAGGTTCAAGTCCTACTCGCGTCGTTTTGTTCCTTCACCTCCTGTAGAGAACATTCCTATCTGCCGAAGGTAATGTTTTTAGAACCGCTATATTTCTCCCGCGCTGTTCTAGCTTTCTAGTCCTAATGTTTCTGCGTCATCCTTGTAAGTTGTACGCGAATTGAGTCAGACGAGTGGGTCACAAACGCAAACTCAAACCTCGGGATTCTAGCGCTTCGAAAGTCATCGAGGGGGTCACACAACTCGGCGTTAATCTGTGGACTTCAAACAGCCATCCGTGTAATGTATGTCGTGTCGCTTGTCACACAAACACAGATCTCAGCCCGGTGAAGAAGACTTGCGGGTCTGGGTGCGGGAGACAGCTCCAAGTCCCCTTTCGATCCTGGCTTACCCCAGTGTCAGGGAGCAGAACCGTAGGACTTGTACAGCATGATGTGACGCAAGTGTAACTGGAGTTGAGAAGAAGTCCGTCCGTGCGGCGGCACCGTAGATTGTCATCGACTTCTTGCGACAGCGGAGATATGCGAACCTGCTCTGAGCGTCGGGCTGACTATGGAGAGACAACGATCTCCCGTACAGAATGAGGGATTTATCACCTCATGTCCAGGCCGAAGCCCTGTCAGGCTGGTAGAGATAGGCTTAACCAACGCATGCGCCGCTGCAGTTCCCGATGCGCGGAGAAGGAGTCCCGCATCGTGCGCACCAGCTTTAGATGTGGCGTAAAGTCCTCTCGAGACTCGAGATGGGAGGAGGGTGTCGGAGCAGTAGGATTTCAAACAGTACAGTACGTGAGGGAGGCACAAGCGCAGAGCTCGGTTTCGGTCTTCAGTCTCTGCGAAACGCTGTCCCGCAAGTCCGGACCTCACCGCTCAGCGCCCAGCTGCGGCGATGGAGCAATACAACATCGGGAGATGAGGGCGCTGAGATTGGCATCCGACCCGCATGGTCAAGCATGGGTGCAAAAACTGAGCACACGACGAACCGCACACCAAGTGCACGCGCATCAACTCCATCCTATCGTCATCCGAGCTCCGGTTTGCGACAGAGACGGACCTACACAAGTTCGGCTCCAACTTTAGTTCTTTCTATCTTCCCTCCTAACTGACTACCTACGGAAACTAGATATCCTACGTATTCCTAGGAAACCCCTCCGGATCACCAACTGCATCCTACAAATAAACTATGTGTACATTTGACACGCCTTAGAGAGACAGAGGACGGGTGGACGGTGAACAAGGAAGGCGAATGGACGGAACGCGCACCGGGCGCCGCAACGTATTAGCGTTGTAGAGGAACGGGGGAGATGGAGACGGGATCCGCAAAGAAGGCAAATGGAATGACAGAATAAAACGCTGAGCGTGGATGCGGCGCGTAGTGTAAGGACTGTATGTCGGCTTGGGAGGAGACGCGCGCCGATGAGCGAGGATAGGTTCTCGGTGGGGGGTGTATATTACGACCCGGCCGTACTGGTACTTGTGCTCGCCGAGGACTTGCCGCGCTTTCTGCGGGCAGCGGCGCCGCTGCTGCTGCGTGGCGTAGTATGGGAGCGAACGTGACGGTACATGTTGCTGAGTACGCCGAATGTTGCGTCGCATCCTTCGACGGTGCACACATACGCTGTCAAGGCTTGTCAGCATCGGCAGCAAGGCGCAAGGGAGACGACGGCAGTTCAAGAGCATGATCGACCAGCAGGCATCAACGCGAACGCGGTGAGTCTGACAGTCAGCGGACGGCGGACGTCGACAAGCAAAGGTGACGGTGGCGCACCCGCTCGCCGAAGTCCACGAAGCAAAGGACCACCATCATGTAGCAAGAATGGATGCGGAAAGGAGTGCGGACAGATCGCAGAAGGGCACGCACGTTTCGCGCCGGTGTGACAGTTCAGGTGCGTCTTGAGGACGCTCATCCTCTCAAACTTCTTGCCACAGTACTCGCACTCGAGGTTACTCTTCTTCTCCTTCGGTGCGCTTCCCTCCTTCGCAGGGGTAGCTGCGACGAAAGGCACCGTCAGCAAACCAGAACAGATGACTGGATATCACGCTTACCAGAACTCTTCCTACGCCTATTACCAGCGATGGGTCGAGCACCAGATCCGGCGGCGCCACTACCCAGGCGTTCGCTACGAGGATCGTAGTCCGGGTCGTCCTCGCCGTCACCATCGTCGAAGCTGCTCCCCTCGCTCGGCATTTCCTCCCAGCTCTCCTCCCCATCCGAGCTCGGCGCTTTGCGCTTCCTGTTATTGCTATTCCCTTTCTTCGCCTTGGGCGGGAGCGACGACGCGTTGCTCGACGGTGACGGCAGGTGGATGGTCTGGTTTCCGCCTCCACCAGACGCGGGGCTCGTCGTGTCTTCGCGCTTCACAATAGCCGAGGGTGTAGACGAGGGTTGCGGGTGGAATGCGGGGAAGGCGCTGGACGGTGAAGCACTTGTGGGCGTGACGGTCGGAAGCGGCGAAGGCATGTTCATCGGGTATCCGCCGCCGTTTGCTCCAGACGACGGGACCTGAAGCGGCGGGGGCGGAGGGAGGCTGATTCCAGGGCTCATTGTAGCGGCCGAGAGTGGGCGAGTGTTGGACGCGTGCGCATGTGGATGAGGCGGGAGTTGTAGCGGCGGAAGACTCGCAAGCGGCGGCGGCTGGAGCGCAATACCGCGCGAGCTCGACATGTGCTGCTGCTGCTGCTGTTGCATGAAGCCCTGTTGCTGATTAAAGTTTGCCTGGTGTTGTGGCCCGAAGTTCTGCTGCTGGTGATGGTGCTGCTGCGGAATGAACTGTTGATGATTCACGCCGACGCCGACGCCGAACTGCGCGGGAAGCGGGACGTTGACGTTAATGCTCAGGTTATACGAAGGCTGCATCTGCTGCTGCTGCTGCGGCTGCTGCTGCATGGACAACGGATGGTGGTGCGGGTGTTGCTGCTGCAGACCGGGGAAGCTGTTCGAGAGCTGCGGTGCCATGTGCTGCTGGGGCCCGATGTTGTACCCGATACTAGGTTGAAAGCCGCCGCCGCTGTTGCCGTTGTAGGTGCCGTTCGAGTTGTAGCCGTTGCCGTTGCCGTTGAAGCCATTGCCGTTGCCGTACCCGTCGCCGAAGAACTGAGGCTGCATAGGCGGGAGGGGCGATACAGAACCTTGCATCCGCATGCTACCGCCTTGGAACCCGAAGTTGTCGTCTTCGCGCTTCCTGACGAGACCGCCGCCGCCGCCAGAGTTGGTCTGGTACTGCGCAAAGTCAACGCCGGCGCCTTGCTGAAGGGGCGTAGCGGTCGGTGTGTCGTAGCTCTGCGCTGCGGCATAGACGTTCGTCCAGCCAGGTCCAGTAGACGGAAGGGAGGTGTTGAACACCGTGATGTCGCGCATGTGCACATCGCGCTGCGTCTCGCGTACAAATCGCTGCGCGTCGCGGTCGTCCTTGCGTGCGCGGCCGGTAAACATCGCATCGTCGCTCAGCGGGCGCAACGGTTCGCCGAGCATGAGGTCTCGAAGCTTGGGCGAAAGAGCGTGCTTCGGCGGAAGCGGGCGCGCGGGGATGTGGGTGCTGGACGGCGTAGGCGGGTGTGGGGCCTCGCTGGCGCTGCTCGGGCTCGACTCGCGGTCGCACACGTCCATCGCGCACTCGTCGATGCTGGCGACCTGCGCGAACTCGTAGCGCGAGTCGATGCTGGGCGCATAGGTCGTCGGGCGGGTGCTCGTCGTGCGCGCGGTCCACATGCTGTCGGCGGGGCTGCTCGGGCGCGTGCTCAGCGCCTCGACGCTCTTCTTGCGCAGCGGCGCGGGGTGGATGAGCGCGCTGAGCGACAGCCTGCGCCGCGGCTTCTGCTCGTCGACGGGGTGGACCTTGGGCGGCAGCTTGAGCGACGGCGAGCGTTCCACCGACGGCGGCTTGTGGTAGACGGGCTGCGGCGGCGCCGACAGACCCATCATCAGGCCCGGCGGCCGTGGCGGCTGCAGCGGCGGGCTCAGCAAGTCCTTGGGTGGTTTCTCGAACGCCAGCGGGCTCGTTGGGCGCGCCGGTCGCGTCTTGGCTGGCGACGGGGGCTTCTTATCCTTCGAATTCGACCGTTTGAGCACGGGGATCGCGCCGATGCCGAAGATAGAGCCGCCAGCGAGCATGGGAGACAGCCCGACGTCGATTTCGACCTCGTCGTCGTCGCCCACGTCGCCGCCGCGCAGGGAAGACGTTGGATAGCGGTTGCTGGGACTTGGGCTCCTCGACGTCGCCTGCTGCGACGATAAGCATGAAATTTGGATCTAAACGACGAGCTCACGTTGCTGGACCGTTTCCTAGACTTGGCGAACGATGTGAAAATGCCCAGCGGGCTGCGTTTGGGCTCCTTGTCGCCCTTGTCGCCGGATTTGTTGCTGTGGACCTTGTCTGGCACCTGGCGACGCTGGGCGTCGGCGGCGCCGGCACCGCTCTGCTCGCTGGGCCTGGCGACGAGCTCGCTAATGGGCGGTAGGTGCATTGGCAGCGGCATCGTCGAGCGCGCCGAGGGCAATCCGGTCAAGGGGCAAAACAGCTTTAAAAGTCCGCTCGTAGTCTAATGCCTTACCAACTGCACCACGCGGAGACCAGGCACCGCTTCATGTCCCAAATTGAGTTTTGTATGAATTTCTCTTTGTAACTTAGTTGTAAAATATGCAGTGACCTCCTGCAGGGTCATCTCAGGTAGCTGAGGCAATCCGCGAGGACTCTCACCCCGGATTTCGTTCGAGTTGGAGATTCTCGTTTATCTCTACGAGTTGCGCACCGCCCGGTCCGCCACAGCTTTGCCATGCTTACGCCCTGTCAGAGTCCTGACGATCCGCTGCCGAATCCCATCCGCAAAGCCCTCGCAGCCGGCTCCACGTTTGCTTGCGCACCGCCTTATCTTCGCGAGCTTTCTCCACTACCTTTCAATCACGGACTCATAGTCCCATTAATCTACTTGATCAGAGCTGACATCAGCATCGCACAGACGGTTGGTCTCTTCGTCAAATAGTAATTTCGTTCCAGTTCGCCTTACTTTGAGTACGAGCAATGTACC